CCTGGGGCCCAAAATTAGTGAAGTGATGGTTTTCGGGCCTCGGACCTGCAGGCGGGGCGGCGGCTGCTGCTGCTGCCAGAGGGCCGACGAAGGGCTTGCAGAGGAAGCAGAACTCGCACTGGAGCCGGACCTTCGCCATGGCCGCGCCGCAGGCGGGTCCCGCGCCGGGGGTGGAGGAGCCGTTCGCGTTGAGCTCCTCCAGGGCCTCCTGGAAGAGGTCGCAGCACGGCTTGTTGCACTCTTCCAGGCCTTCGACCTCCATGCATTCGAGCTGACAGCCGTGGCCCTCGTACTTGCACGCCTCGTCCCCAGCGGAGCAACTCGGCACTTGCTCTGACGTGGGGGGGCATTTCATCAGCTCCCTGAGGGGACCCTGGGCAAATGCTTCTGAGCTGTCGCACATGCTATACGGAGAGAAACAGTTATTGCAGTCGCTGGGCCAATGCACCGGGGATGCACCCCAGCTCGATATGAAGCCGAAGGTGCCCCCAGCCAAAGCGCCATCGCCAGCCGCTATAGTGGTGGGCTGCTGTGTAGCGCCTGTTATGGCGCTCGCCTTCCACGGCCCCTGCAAGGAGAGGTTTGTGGGCGCGACCGGTTGCAGATCATGACCCGATGCCATCATCGGAAAGGCAAGAGTTCCCGCAGGGAAAGAGCTGGTCAGCTGAACGACCTTGAACTCTGCCAGGTTTTCGGGAGGTGTTGATATCCCAGAGAAGTCGACGGTTTCACATTGCACACTGTTTCCATCAAAACTGAGACACCGGGACAGCACGCATACGCTGACGGCCAAAGGGCAAGGTGTGCCGGATATGTAAGCCTTCCCGCTGAACGTTCGCAACAAGTAAGTCACCTTGCTCTCTTTCGACGCGGCGCGAGTCACGTGCGCAGAGACCGAACAGGATGCCACCCCGTCGGCTGTCTGGATCGTGCTGTTCCAAATGCCGACGCCAGGAGACTTCAGCCGCAGACACTTACCAGCGAAACCAGCCGAATCCACCAACTCGGCCACCTTTGGATTCGTGTATGACGCAGCAGGCCCAAAAAGTTCAGCAGGCGAGGTCTCGCCCATGCCGTCCACGAACATCCTCAGGAATGGCTCCACCACAAGGCCCAGGCAATCCTCAACGCCGGCCACCTCGGGCCACAATGCAGACTGCAGGTTCTCAGTGCTGACGTCGACGCTTTCTGGGACGCGTCGACCTGGCGAAGCGCCAAGGGGTGGAGAAACCATATCGCCGATGAGGAGGTCGTTGCAATCTGCTGACGAATCGTGTGGTGGGCTAATGCCAAGGATGAGTGGGACACACCCCGGCCTGAAACTCACATTCAAGATGTCCCCATTGGAGTAGAGCCCCGAGCCAGACGAAGCCAGTGAGGTGGAAGCGCCAATAACGTTGAAATCATACGAGAAAGACACACCTGCCATGAAATTTGCCATGGTCTGTAGCGCATCGCCATCGTCCCACGTATTGGAAAAAACGATATCGGTGATGCCCTGATTGGCGTAGGACGTTAGCAGATCCCGGTTGGTTAAGTCGAAGCAAATCCGCCGGCCCCCTTGTGGGGCCACCAGGCTGTAGGCGCGGGTTCGCAGTTTCCAGTACCAGTTGTAGCTTGTAGTTTCCAGTGTTACAGTTCTGCTTCTTGCTGGTTACTGTAACTAGTTGACTTCTTGCTGGTTACTGTAACTAGTTGATTGACCGCGCGAGGGGGGGGGAGGCCCAAACAAGACTTTTAGCCTCCCCTGACCGCGTTGTCTGAATTGCTGGGTGGGCTCGAAATCGACACCCCTCACGCAGATCCGCGGGGTCAGGGTCCAAAAACATAGGGGATTTGCCATATTTCTGAAATTCGGTGCCACCCCTCACGCAGATCCGCAGGGTCAGGGTCCAAAAACACAAGGGATTTGCCACATTTCTGAAATTCGGTGCCACCCCTCACGCAGATCCGCGGGGTCAGGGTCCAAAAACACAAGGGATTTGCAACATTTCTGAAATTCGGCGCCACCCCTTACGCAGATCCGCGGGGTCAGGGTCCAAAAACACAAGGGATTTGCTACATTTCTGAAATTCGAGCCCATTACGCACATCCATCGCAAGGCGTGGTAACCCAAACTGCGAGAACTCCCTCGGCCCTTTCATCGCAAGGTGTGGCAACCAAGCCCTTAAACCATACACGTCTTACCAATCGCCAGGTGTGGTAACCCCTCTTGTGATCAGTTGGTTTTGCTGATTGCGACTCGGCTTCGCATGAAGTTTCGATACTGCTTCACGACAGCGCCCAGGCCTCATGACTTAGCTCTTCCATGGCCCATTCTCCGAGAGAGGGGGCCGGCGGCAGGGGGCGAAACCCTTACGGATTACTACACCGAATTTGACACCAAACGCTTCGAATACCCCAGTGGCGTTAAAATACTCACTGAGTTCTGGGACCGTCTGCGTAAGCCCATTCGACGTGCCTTGAAACAGCGTGTGCTTGTAATACTTGGTCACTAGAGCGCCATTCGGAGCGATGACTTCGGTCGCGTCGAAGTAGTACGAAGGTCGAATGCCATCTTCTGGCGTTTGCGTCTGCCAACAAAGACCTGGCGCTACATAATTGCACGGCTGAACATCGTTGCTCTGAAAAACCAGATATATGTTGTATGTCCTCCCAATGCACGCCAGACGGCTAACTGTCCACGGATCATCTGGGTCACACAGATTCTTGTCTGGATCGGGATACGGCCACTCCGCGTCGTCGGGGCCATTCTCGGGAAAGACTAGAATTTGAACACCATTCGCGGAAGCACGCTGGGCGTAGTCTTCAACAACTGACACGCCATAATCTGAAAAAACCTGGGCGACTGCAGCCTTGTACGTGATTTCACCTGCTGCGGTCGCGACGGCCATCGCTCCCGCAAGGGCGACCGCTGCACACGCCAACGATGGCATCGTACAGTCGCGGTGGTTGCTTCGGCGACTTACCTGTAGTGGGAGACACTAGTGAATCTTGAGCCAAAAGTCAAAAATCGTCCCCGGCTTATTGTTTGGCTACTTTTGCATATTCCTCCTGTAGCCCGACTGAAACCTACCCCTGCTGGTCAGACTCCTGGAGAGGCGGCGGGGGCTCAGAGCGGCGAGGGGCACTGCTGTGTCTCTGCATCACCTGCCTTCGTGCTTGGCGCCCCGCGATGCGCGTCGCGCGGCCATCGGGCGCTGGAGCGTGGGCGCCAGCTCCACGGATCGAGCAAAGTACCCCCCGAAACATGAGGCGGGTGTCGCCCGCCTCGGCGACGGAGCTGGTCGATTCCGCATGGGAAACTAGGCCCGGCAATCCACGCGCCTCTCGGAGGTGGACAAACCTCCTCTTAGTGAACCACCCTTCAGTGAAAACGGCCTCGGACCGAAACCGACGGACCTGGACCCGCAAAAAATGGCGGCCGCGACGCCCTCTCGCGAATCGAAGACGGCCCATTCGCTGATCGACGTGTCGGGATAGGAGGCCTGTCCACCCCCGAGCCTCGGCCCCCGCCTGCGCTCCCCCACGTTGAATGGGGCCCTGGGACACACCAATAAATACACACAAATAAGAATATCCCCCATAATTTCCCATATGTTCTGGGTTTTTGCCTTCCCCCCCCCCTTCCCATGTTTTCCCATATTTTCTGTGGAATCGCCGATTCGTTGTGTCTGTGTGTGTGTTCTTTCCCTCTTGACACGTATTTCCTCGCGCCCTCGCGCGCCCTCGCGCCGCCCCCACCCCGGAGAGAAGGGCGGCCGCCCTGGCCCAGGCCTCGACGCGCGGAGCGCGGTTGCCTCCGCGCCCCCCGCGGGCGACCTGCGGCGAGCGCGCGAGCAGTCCTCTGCAGGCGAGAGATCCGCAGGCCCTGTGGCTTCACTGGGATTCCTGGGATGTCTGGGATGCAGATCCACGACACCTGCCCAGAGCTGGGTAGTCGAAGCCAATCTGGCGCCAATCTGGCAGGCCCAGTCTGGCAAACGGGGGCAATCTGGCGAGGGAGCCAACGCGAATCCAGTCTGGCGACTAACCCAAATCATCCAGTTTGGCCGGGCCAGATTGGCCCGTGGGGCCCGATCCAATCTGACAGTCTGGCCTTCGACTACCCAGCAGAGGGGGGCGTCCCAAGAGGGTGGTGTGCTAGTCGTGGCCCAGGGGTGGACCCCCAAGGTTTTTTTGCTCCAGGGGTGGACCTGAGTGGTGCTTTGGCGATTTCGTGGGCTTTTTTTGTTGTTTCGATGTCGTTGTGCAGCGAAGGCAAATTCGACACAAAACGAGAGAAAACGAGAGCAAAACGAAAACGAAAAGCACTGTTTAGGTCCAGTCCTGTCATGGCCAGCGGCATGTGCGCAGCCCAGGGGGAAGCCAGAGACGTCTTGAAACAAGAAGGGGCGCCATGAGATCTGGGGAGATATCATGGCCCCCGCCATGACATCCACCCCCCCCTGGTCATCACCCCCCTCTGTGCCGCCCCCGAACATCCTGAAGGCCCGCGGTCCCCGAGAGCCGGGAACATGCAGGCCCCGCCGAAATGCTTGAGCAGAGGAGAGGCTACGAAGGGCATTCTGTACTACGCCGAACCGTTCACACTGTCGTTAGAGTGCCCGCACAGCCATGGCGTTCTCGCCAGTTCGGTCTTCCGACGCTCCAAGACGTCCAAGGAGGCCCCGAAGATCGCTCAAGACGGCCCAAGGGGCCCCAAAGAGGGCCCCAAGACGGCTCAAAAGGCCTCCACGACGCCCCAAGACGGCCCCAAGACAGCCCCAAGAGGCGCCTTACGCCTCAAGAGGGACCCTGAGACCGCCAGCAGGCCCCCCAGAGGCCCCCAAAAAGGCACCCAAGAGGCAGCCAAGAAGAGGCCCGAAAGAGGCCCCATGAGGCCCCATAACGGATCCCGAGAGGCCTCGCAAGTGCGTCCGAGAGACCCACGAAAGGCCCCGCAGAGACCAGAACAGGCAGTCCTGAGGACACTGACCCACAACCCAAGGCACGGTGGCGTGTTGGGCAGAAGGCCATCAGGATACAGCACGAGTCTCAACACCTCACAAGAGAACAATGTGGACCCCACATGCCCTCCCTGGCAGCAGTGCAAGAGCCAAGGGTTTGGGCCTTGCCGCTGGACAAAGAGTCACCACGAACAGACATACCCGAAGACTGGTGCGCTGTCTTGCAAACGATCTCGCTGGCGTGATGACCCGCATGCGGTGATCCACCCTCACGGCGCGCGAGGATCACATCTCCGCTGCAAGCAGGCAGCAGGCACAGAAGGGCATCTGGCCCAAGAGGCCGCCCAGACGGGTCAGGTCGCGCCCCGCGCCCCGCACCCCGAGGGCGACCAAACGCCAGAGACCCTCCAAAGATGCGTCCAGAGGCCCCCGAGACGCCCACAAAGGGGGGGAACGGGCACTGAACATCAAGGAAGGCTATCGGCATCGCCTATATAGTCGCATTGAAGACACACAGGTCGCAGGCACTGCGTCACCAGTGATGGTCTGGCTGCCCCGTGCGCTTGCGGAATAAATATGGAAGGACCGGTCATCGCTGTCGTCATGGTAGCGGCGCGGGGAGGGGATGAAATGGGAGGCGGCGGGCGAGGCTGGCCAGCCAGAATGTCAGCGCCCCGTGGGGCGTCGGCCAATGCTCACGCCCGAGACAGGCTCGGACCAAGCACGGTCCCGACCATCCGCCACCGCGCTTGCAACAATGGATGAGTGCGGGCCGTTATTTGTTGCGCTAGCTTCGCTACGCTCGATGCTTCTGCTATCGATGCCTATGTGCGAGCCAGAGAGACGCCAGGCAAGCCAGGGGCGCCACGCCGACCTGCAACAGGCAAGCCCGTGTAAAGAACCTTGGCCTGAGAACACAAAAAACCTGGGTATTTCCGTGCATGGGGAAGAGGAGCAGGAGGAGGAGGAGGAAGATGAGCCAGAAGCAGGGGACCGAACTAGTATATCTGTATTTCTGATATATATATATAAGATTAAGGAAATCTGTGTTGATATTTTCCCGCGCAGGGGTCTTCACTAGTACAGAACCCCCCTGGAGCTGATAATATCAGCTTTGCTTGATATCGGATGGCCTGGGACGTTAGATGCTCATTCTGGGGACCTTCCTGGAGCCACTCGCTCCACTCGTGCGTCGAAGCTGCGTCGAACCTGAGTAGAACCTGAGTCGAACCTGAGTCGAACCTGAGTCGAACCAGAGTCGAATCTGAGTCGAATCTGTGTCGAACCTGAGTCGAACTTGAGTCGAACTGGGGTCGAACAGATCCGTTGGGTGGGCCCCACGAAGGTCCCCGAAACGAGCATCGAAGGGACGTGTGCCCCCGCGGGGCTGCTCAGCTTTGGACGCCCGAAATGGGTACGGAAAGAATGGGCACTATGCCCAACAGCAAATGTTGTCCCGAACCAACAGCGGCCGCTGTTGGGCAGGCGGCCCTCTGTCTCAAATGGACACAGGCCGCGGCGGCGTGGACAGCGAGCCCTGTTCAAAATGAACAGGAACTGCTGTTGGGCATTGTACCCATTCTTTCCGTGCCCATTTCGGGCGTCCAGATCAGCTCTCGGCAGCAGTGATCGGGGCGCTCTCCTCCCGCGCCCAGGCGCCCGCCGCCGCCGCGGCCGCGCCCCGGCGCCGGAGCGCCAGCGCGGCCCCTGCGAGCACCGCGGCGGCCCCGAGCGCCGCGGCGGCGCCCGCCGCGGGGCCCGTGGGCCACAGCCCGGGCCGCGGCGGGCCACTGGCCACGGAGTACAGTCGAGGCGTTGACCTAAGGAACCCTAAATAAGGAACGAGGCCCCTTTTTCCCATAAGTTCAACCTCGATTTCCGATGGAAAACCGGAGGAAAACCCCAGGCAAACTTTGAAACAATCAAGGAACACCGAGCCCCTCCCCAACGAAAAGGGTTCCTTCTTCAGGGCCCCACCTGTAGGCGGCGGCGGCACCTGCAGGCGGGGCGGCGGCTGCTGCTGCTGCCAGAGGGCCGACGAAGGGCTTGCAGAGGAAGCAGAACTCGCACTGGAGCCGGACCTTCGCCATGGCCGCGCCGCAGGCGGGTCCCGCGCCGGGGGTGGAGGAGCCGTTCGCGTTGAGCTCCTCCAGGGCCTCCTGGAAGAGGTCGCAGCACGGCTTGTTGCACTCTTCCAGGCCTTCGACCTCCATGCATTCGAGCTGACAGCCGTGGCCCTCGTACTTGCACGCCTCGTCCCCAGCGGAGCAACTCGGCACTTGCTCTGACGTGGGGGGGCATTGCATCAGCTCCCTGAGGGGACCCTGGGCAAATGCTTCTGAGCTGTCGCACATGCTATACGGAGAGAAACAGTTATTGCAGTCGCTGGGCCAATGCACCGGGGATGCACCGAAGCTCGATATGAAGCCGAAGGTGCCCCCAGCCAAAGCGCCATCGCCGGCCGCTATAGTGGTGGGCTGCTGTGTAGCACCTGTTATGGCGCTCGCCTTCCACGGCCCCTGCAAGGAGAGGTTTGTGGGCGCGACCGGTTGCAGATCATGACCCGATGCCATCATCGGAAAGGCAAGAGTTCCCGCAGGGAAAGAGCTGGTCAGCTGAACGACCTTGAACTCTGCCAGGTTTTCGGGAGGTGTTGATATCCCAGAGAAGTCGATGGTTTCACATTGCACACTGTTTCCATCAAAGCTGAGACACCGGGACAGCACGCATACGCTGACGGCCAAAGGGCAAGGTGTGCCGGATATGTAAGCCTTCCCGCTGAACGTTCGCAACAAGTAAGTCACCTTGCTCTCTTTCGACGCGGCGCGAGTCACGTGCGCAGAGACCGAACAGGATGCCACCCCATCGGCTGTCTGGATCGTGCTGTTCCAAATGCCGACGCCAGGAGACTTCAGCCGCAGACACTTACCAGCGAAACCAGCCGAATCCACCAACTCGGCCACCTTTGGATTCGTGTATGACGCAGCAGGCCCAAAAAGTTCAGCAGGCGAGGTCTCCCCCATGCCGTCCACGAACATCCTCAGGAATGGCTCCACCACAATGCCCAGGCAATCCTCAACGTCGGCCACCTTGGGCCACAATGCAGACTGCAGGTTCTCAGTGCTGGCGTCGACGCTTTCTGGGACGCGTCGACCTCGCGAAGCGCCAAGGGGTGGAGAAATCATGTCGCCGATGAGGAGGTCGTTGCAATCTGCTGACGAATCGTGTGGTGGGCTAATGCCAAGGATGAGTGGGACACACCCCGGCCTGAAACTCACATTCAAGATGTCCCCATTGGAGTAGAGCCCCGAGCCAGACGAAGCCAGTGAGGTGGAAGCACCAATAACGTTGAAGCCATACGAGAAAGACACACCTGCCATGAAATTTGCCATGGTCTGTAGCGCATCGCCATCGTCCCACGTATTGGAAAAGACGATATCGGTGATGCCCTGATTGGCGTAGGACGTTAGCAGATCCCGGTTGGTTAAGTCGAAGCAAATTACTACACCGAATTTGACACCAAACGCTTCGAATACCCCAGTGGCGTTAAAATACTCACTGAGTTCTGGGACCGTCTGCGTAAGCCCATTCGACGTGCCTTGAAACAGCGTGTGCTTGTAATACTTGGTCACTAGAGCGCCATTCGGAGCGATGACTTCGGTCGCGTCGAAGTAGTACGAAGGTCGAATCCCACCTTCTGGCGTTTGCGTCTGCCAACAAAGACCTGGCGCCACATAATTGCACGGCTGAACATCGTTGCTCTGAAAAACCAGATATATGTTGTATGTCCTCCCAATGCACGCCAGACGGCTAACTGTCCCCAGATCATCTGGGTCACACAGATTCTTGTCTGGATCGGGATACGGCCACTCCGCGTCGTCGGGGCCATTCTCGGGAAAGACTAGAATTTGAACACCATTCGCGGAAGCACGCTGGGCGTAGTCCTCAACAACTGACACGCCATAATCTTGAAAAACCTGGGCGACTGCAGCCTTGTACGTGATTTCACCTGCTGCGGTCGCGACGGCCATCGCTCCCGCAAGGGCGACCGCTGCACACGCCAACGATGGCATCGTACAGTCGCGGTGGTTGCTTCGGCGACTTACCAGTAGTGGGAGACATTATTGAATCTTGAGCCAAAAGTCAAAAATCGTTCCCTGCTTATTGTTTGACTACTTTTGCATATTCCTCCTGTAGCCCGACTGAAACCTACCCCTGCTAGTCAGACTCCTGGAGAGGCGGCGGGGGCTCAGAGCGGCGAGGGGCACTGCTGTGTCTCTGCATCACCTGCCTTCGTGTGTGGCGCCCCGCGATGCGCGACGCGCGGCCATCGGGCGCTGGAGCGTGGGCGCCAGCTCCACGGATCGAGCAAAGTACCCCCCGAAACATGAGGCGGGTGTCGCCCGCCTCGGCGACGGAGCTGGACGATTCCGTATGGGAAACTAGGCCCGGCAATCCACGCGCCTCTCGGCGGTGGATAAACTTCCTCTTAGTGAACCACCCTTCAGTGAAAACGGCCTCGGACCGAAACCGACGTACCTGGACCCGCAAAAATTGGCGGCCGCGACGCCCTCGCGAATCGAAGACGGCCCATTCGCTGATCGACGCGTCGGGGTAGGAGGCCTGTCCACCCCCGAGCCTCGGTCCCCGCCTGCGCTCCCCCACGTTGAAGGGGCCCTGGGACACACAAACAAGTGGCACGTGTGCCATGGCTCTTGCACGAAAAGGAAGGGGGAAGGTCGGAGGGGTGTGCCGTGCCGACATAAAAAGAGGTCGCGGCGGAGGGGCGCGCTGGCTTGTGAGTGGGTAGGTGGGTGGGTGGGGGGGGCATAATCAAGGGGTCGGGGCGGAGGGGCGCGCTGGCTGGTAGGTGGGGGGGATGCGGAGGGGGCGTGCGGGGCGCGCGGGGAGAGAGTGGGGGCTGTGCCGAAATAAAGGGGTCGCGGGGAGGAGGGGGCGCGCTGGCTGATGGGCGGGGGGGATGCGGAGGGGGGTTCGTGGCGAAATAAAAGGGTCGGGGCGGAGGGGAGCGCTGGCTGGTGGGCGGGGGGATGCGGAGGGGGTGTGCCGTGGCGAAATAAAACGGGCGGGGCGGAGGGGTGTGCCGTGCCGGAATAACGGAGTCCGGGCGGACGGGCGCGCTGGCTGGTGGGTGCGGGGATGCGGAGGGGGTGTGCCGCTCCGAAATAAAAGGGGTCGGGGTGGAGGGGTGTGCCGTGCCGAAATGAAGGATCGGGGCGGAGGGGGCGCGCGGTGGGTGGGGGGCTTGCCGAAGTAAAAGGGTCGGGGCGGAGGGGGTGCGCTGGCTGGTGGGTGGGGGGATGCAGGGGCGGTGCCGTGCCGAAATACACGGGTCGGGGCGGATGCGCGCGCTGGCTGGCGGGCGGGGTGGGGATGCGGAGGGGGTGTACCGTGCCGAAATAAAAAAGTCGGGGCAGAGAGGTGTGCCGTGCCGAATTAAAGGTGTCGGGGCGGAGGGCGCGCTGGCTGGTGGGTGGGGGGTGTGCCGTGCCGAAATAAAAAAGATGTCGCGGGGGAGGGGTGTGCCGCCGACATAAAAAAGAGGTCGCGGCGGAGGGAGCGCGCGGGGGGGTTGGCGTGCCCGAAATAAAGGGGTCGGGCGGAGGGGCGCTGGCTGGTGGGTGGGGGGTGGGGGGGGGGCGGAGGGGTGTGCCGTGCCGATGCGAAGGCTTCGGGTGGCGCCGAGCGAAATAAGAGAGGTCCGGCGAGGGGCGCGCGGCTGTGTGTGGGGGGATGCGGACCGGTGTGCCGCGCCGAAGAAACGGATCGGGCGGAGGGAGTCCGCGCCGAATAAAAGAGGTCGGGGCGGAGGGGCGCGCTGGCTGGTGGGCCACCTTGGTGGTTGGGGGGATGCGGAGGGGGTGTGCTGTGCCGAAATAAAGGGGTCGGGGCGGAGGGGCGCGCTGGCTGGTGGATGGAGGGGATGCGTAAAGGGTGTGCCGTGCCGAAATAAAAGGGGTCGTGCGGAGGGGCGCGCCGTGCCGAAATAAATGGGGGGCGGAGGGGCGCGCTGGCTTGTGGGTGGAGGGGGATGCAGACGGGGTGTGCCGTGCGAAATAAACGGTGTCGGGGCGGAGGGGTGTGCCGTGCCGAAATAAAAGGGGTCAGGGCGGAGGGGCGCGCTGGCTGGTGGAATGCGTGGGTGAAGGAGGGGGTGTCGTGCCGAAATAAAGTGGTCGGAGCTCTAGACACCCTGCGCAAGATAATAGAGTGGTCGGAGCTCTAAACACCCCATACAAAAGAATTAAGGAGTCGGGTCGAAGGGGCGTGCCGTGCCGAAATGAAGGGGGTCGGGGCGGAGGGGCGCGCTGGCTTGTGAGTGGGTGGGTGGGTGTGGGGGTGGGCGTAATAAAGGGGTCGGGGCGGGGGGGCGCGCTGGCTGGTGGGCGGGGGGGGTGCGGAGGGGGCGCGCGGGGCGCGCGGGGAGGGAGTGGGGGCAGTGCCGAAAGAAAGGGGTCGCGGGGCGGAGGGGGCGCGCTGGCTCGTAAGTGGGGGATGCGGGGGATGGGGGAGGAGGGCGCCGTGCCGAAATGAAACTGTCGGGGAGGAGGGGCGCGCTGGCTGGTGGGTGGGGGGATGCATAGGGAGTGTGCCGTGCCGAAATAAAGGAATCGGTGCGGAGGGGTGTGCCGTGCCGAAATAAGGTGTCGGGCAGGGGCGCACGGCTGCGTGGTGGGGGGATGCAGAGGCGGGTGCCGTGCCGAAAGGGGTCGGGCGGAGGGGTGGTGCCCGGCCGAATAAATGGAGCGGGGCGGGGGGGCGCTGGGCTGTGGGTGGGGGTGTGCGGAAGGGGTGTGCCGTGCCGAATAAAGGAGTCGGGGGAGGGGTGTGTCGCGCCGAAATAAATGGATCGGGTCGGAGGGCGTTGGCTGGTGGTGGGGGGGATTCGGAGGGTGTGCCGTGCCGAAATAAAAGGCGTCGGGGCGGAGGGGTGCGCCGCGCCGAAACAAAAGGCGTCGGGCCGAAGGTGTCGGGGCGGGGGGGGCGGGGGGCGTGCCGAAATGTAAAGGTCGGGGCGGAGGGGGTGCGCTGGCTGGTGGGCGGGGGGGTGCGGGGGAGGGGGAGCGCGTGCCGAAATAAAGTGGTCGGCGCGGGGGGGCGCGCTGGCTGGTGGGTGGGGGGTGCGGAATCGTGGTGGAGGGGTGTGCCGTGCCGGAATAACGGAGTCCGGGCAGAGGGGCACGCTGGCTGGCGGCGGGGGGGGCTGCGGAGGGGTGTGCCGTGCCGAAATAAAGGGGTCGGGTCGGAGGGGCGCGCTGGCTGTTGGGTGGGGGGATGCGGAGGCGGTGTGCCGTGCCGAAAATAAAGGACCGGGGCGGAGGGGTGTGCCGTGCCGAAATAAGGGGTCGGGGCGGAGGGGCGCGCTGGCTGTGGGGGGGGGGTGGGAGGGGGCGTGCTGGCCGAAATGAAAGGGTCGGGCGGAGGGGGTGCCGTGCCGAAATAAAAAGCTGGGTCGGGGCGGAGGGGTGTCCGAAAAGGTTCCGGGGCGGAGGGGTGTCCGAAATAAAGGAGTCGGGGCGGAGGAGCGCGCTGGCTGGTGGGTGGGGTGGGGGGAGGCGAAGGGGTGCGGGGTGGAGGGCTGGAGGGGGGCGCTGGCTGGTGGAGTGTGTGGACGATGGAGGTGGTGCCGTGCCGAAATAAAGGGGTCTGAGCTCTAGACACCCTGTGCAAGATAATAAAGGGGTCGGGATGAAGGGGCGCGCTGGCTGGTGGGTGGGGTGGGGGGGGGCGTAGGGGGGGTGCCGTGTGAAATGAGGGTCGGGCGAGGGGTGTGCCGTGCCGATATGAAACTGTCGGGAAGGGCGCGCTGGCTGGTGGGTGGGGCGGGGGGGGGCCGTAGGGGGTGTGCCGTGCCGAAATAAAGCGGTCGGGGGGAAGGGGTGGCTGGGGGGGCGGAAGGGGGTGTGCCGTGCCGAATAAAAGATCCGGGCGGAGGGTGCGCCGTGCCGAAATAAACGGGTCGGGGCGGAGGGGTCGGCTGGTGGGTGGGGTGGCTGGTGGCGAAGGGGTGTGGCCGTGCCGAATAAAGGGGTCGGCTGAGGGGTGTGCGTGCCTAATTGGGGCGGCTGAGGGGCGCGCTGGCGGTGGGTGGGGGGTGGAGGGGGTCGGCCGAATAAAGGTGCCTAAAAGAAGTCGGGGGGGGGGGCGCGCTGGCTGGTGGGTGGGGGGATGCGGAGGGGGTGTGCCGTGCCGAAATAAAAGGGTCGGGGCGGAGGGGTGTGCCGTGCCGAAATAGGGGGTCGGGGCGGAGGGGCGCGCTGGCTGGTGGGTGGGGGGATGGCGGAGGGGGTGTGCCGTGCCGAAATAAAGGGGTCGGAGGGGCAGGGGCGCACTGGCTGCCCGTGCCGAAATAAAGGGGTCGGGGCGGAGGGGTGTGCCGTGCCGAAATAGAGGGGTCGGGGCGGAGGGGCGCGCTGGCTGGTGGGTGGGGTGAGGCGGAGGGGGTGTGCCGTGCCGAAATAAAGGGGTCGGGGTGGAGGGGTGTGCCGTGCCGAAATAAAAGGGTCGGGCGGAGGGGCGAGCTGGCTGGTGGGGCGGGGGAGGCGGAGGGGGTGTGCCGTGCCGAATGAGGGGTCGGGGCGGAGGGGTGTGCCGTGCCGAAATAAAAAGGGTCGGGGCTGAGAGACGCACTGGCTGGTGGGTGAGGGGGTGGGGGGGGGGCGTAGGGGGGGGGGGGGGTGCCGAAACAAAAGGGTCGGGGCGGAGAGTGGGCCGTGGCGAAATAAACGGGGACGGGGCGGAGGGGCGCGCTGGTTGGTGGGTGGGGGGAGGCGGAGGGGGTGTGCCGTGCTCAAATAAAAGGGTCGGGGCGGAGGGGTGTGCCGTGCCGAAATAAAGGGGTCGGGGCGGAGGGGCGCACTGGCTGGTGGGTGCTGGTGGGTGGGTGGATGCGGGAGGGGGGGTGGAGGGTCGCGCTGGCTGGTGGAATGTGTAGGTGATGAGGGGTGTGCCGAGCCGAAATAAAGTCGGCGGAGCTCTAGACACTCTGTGCAAGAGAATAAATACACACAAATAAGAATATCCCCCATAATTTCCCATATGTTCTGGGTTTTTGCCTTCCCCCCCCCCTTCCCATGTTTTCCCATATTTTCTGTGGAATCGCCGATTCGTTGTGTCTGTGTGTGTGTTCTTTCCCTCTTGACACGTATTTCCTCGCGCCCTCGCGCGCCCTCGCGCCGCCCCCACCCCGGAGAGAAGGGCGGCCGCCCTGGCCC